ATGTGTAACTCACATGCCTGTACTTTGTTTGGCTGGAAACCACAGGTGTGGGTTCAATTCCAGACCTGAAGGGCAGCTAGGGGCCATAGTCTCAGTGGTTCTACCAGGCTCTATTGGAGTAGCAAACCTGGTCCCCACCTTCTTTTTTTTTTTTTTTTGCCTCCAAATGATTTTGAGTTTTGTTCCACATTGTTCTCCCTCTCTATGCAGGATCTCCTACATCCCTTCCAAGTGGATGACAGTGGTAGCCAGGCACCATCTAGTTCTTCTGGTCTCATAGTTGTATAGGTTGCAGATCGGATGGTGTACCAGTCGCTAGGACTGATTGTTTCCATTAATTTTGGTTTTCTTTCTTCTTGATGAGGAGAGACCCATCGTTGCATCTAGATGGCATCTTGCTAGCTTTTAAGATTCCAGTAGCTACTCGCCAAAGTAGGAGGTGGAACAATGTTTTGTATAGTATGTTATGCCAATTGAGCTTGATGTCCCCTGCGACTATGGTCCCAAGCCCACAGGTTCAACTACTCGGTCGCTCTGGGTAGCTGGCTGTGACCAAGCAGTGACCACAACCTTGCCCCTTGTCAGCTCTACTATACACCTGGGAATTCTGATCATTCACATAAACTTATAGGACTATTGTCTGCCAACCCTATATGTGATCTTGGATACACTCCCCATTTAGACATACCTAATTGTTTAGCCTGTCCACCTATCTATCCATCCATATACCCATGTTTGCCTTCACTTACAACTCAGTACTGTATATGCAAAAGGGTTCATATTTGTTGTCTGTACTTCCCATGTACCTCTCTATGTCTTTCTTATCCTCAGTGGTGCCATATTGGTCACTCACATTTGGTACATTGCCCTTCTCTTCACCCAAATCAATATTTATCTCTATCTATATAACAGCGTTCCCTCCCCTCCCCTTCCACCCCTGGTAACCAACCAAGAAAATTTCCTTCAATAGATAAACCTTTCCTTAACTTTTACAATAACGGACTAATACAATATTTGTCCTTTTGTGATTGACTTATTTCACTCAGCATAATGTTCTCCAAGTTCATCCACGTTATGCAGTGTTTTGCAGATTCTACATTATTCTTTAGCATTGCATAGTATTCCAGTGTGTGTATGTACCATAGTTTGGTTATCCATTCCTCAGTTGATGGACATCTAGGTTGTTTCCACGTTTTGGCTATTGTATATAGTGCTGCGATGAACATGGGTGTGCATGTATCTGTTCTTGTCATGGCTCTTGCTTCTTTAGGGTATATACCTAGTAATGGGATGGCTGGGTCAAATGGTATTTCTAATTCCAACTTTTGAAGGAATCGCCATACTGCTTTCTACAATGGTTGTACCATTTTACAGTCCCACCAGCAGTGTATGAGAGTTTAAAAGGTCTTCTTAATAGCTTTTCAGTGAAATAACCTCAAGGCATCTAGGACCATGCATGTTGTTGTTGTTATTGTTGTTATTTGCCGTCGAGTCGACCCCGACTCATAGCGACCCCTCCTTGGGTTGCCGAGGCAGTATCACTACGGAAGTAGGATTGCCCAACCTTCCTTCCGAGGAGTGGCTGGTGGGTTTGAACCGCCAGCCTTCTGGTTAGCAGTCAAGTGCCTTAGCCACTATGCTACCAGGGCTCCTAGGACCATGCATAGCACATAGAAAATCCTAGAATGATGTCCCTTCTCTTCCTCCTTCCCCATTTCTAAAGGTTATATCTTAAGAATAAACAATCTGATTTTATTATAACAGATACTCCATTTTTACCAATGTTTTCCTCTATATAACTTTCTCAAACAGAGTTGATGCTTTACCAAACGTAAGAAAGTAGAGGCAAGACTTTAAGGTACCATATGCATTTGTCATTTAAATATCCTTCTTGTTCATTTTCTAAGCAAAAGTTCAAATTCTTACCCAGAATGACCCAGTCATCTCATGTGTGTCTGTGTATTTATGAGAATCTGGATTCAGGTCAGAGGCCACCCAAGGGGGAAAAAATCCTGAGACTTGATTACATCATCCAGGCCACAAACCAACTCTGAAGTTCTTTTTTGGCATCTTGTTTACTCGCTGCCTGCCTGGAATAGGTGGAGAAGTCAGCTGGACTTAAAAATTAACAGTTTAAAATAATAGATATGATCTAATGTCTTACATATCTTTCTTTTAAAGTAGCATTAGAATAAACTGACTTGGGAAAAGACCTCATTGGAAATCGTTTTGGTGTTACCAAGAAAATTGGTGACGCACACAGACCCATTACCCAGGTTTTCTACTCTGTATAACATCTTTGAGAAACTAAGAATGTTTGTGGCAGTGCTGTTTGTAACAGCCAAACCTGTTAATCAGCAAAATGAATAAATAAATTGTGACATATACATCCCACTCTGTAATTACAGACACATGCACTGATAAATCTCAAAAACATGTTTATAAGTCATTGCAGAATACATACAGTAGGGTTTTATTTACATAAAGTTCAAAATACGGATAACTAAGTATTTTGTTAGGAACAAAAACATGGTAACACTGTGAAGAAAGAGAATGGTAAGCACGGAATCCAGGAGGAGGGCGTCATCAGGCGGGGCCGTGGCACAGAAGTGCTTCAAAGGCAGCGAGGCTGGATATCTTGACTGTATCAGGGAGCTGCGGACCACTCACTCTACAGATCCTAGTGCAAAAATGACAGATGAGGTGTCATCAGACCCGTCTTTGGATTTGTGATTTTTCTTCTTTCCCCTTTATAAATGGGTGTCAGTTTAATCGTGGAGCCCCGACCCAATGTTTTCTGATGACTCTCTTTCCCATGAAGAGAATAGGTGTCAGTTTAATTCAAGAGCCACAGCCCAATGTTTTCTGATGATTCTGTTTCCCACGAAGAGAAGGAAGTCCCTGCTGAGCAGCACGCTGTGATGTCAGCAGCCACTTCCTCTGAAACCTGCACGGAACATGCCTGTTAGCATACACTGCAGTCTCTGGTTCCCTCCTGATTGGTGATTTCCAGAAGTGTTAAAAGAAACAACTTTGCAGGATTCTTGGAATCATGAAAACATCCCATTTGCTTCTTAACTGCTAAGATAAGCTATTCTTTTAGAGTATTAGACAGGAGAGAAGAGCTCCCCTCTGAGATTTGTTCCTCTGTTATCACAGGAATTGCCCTGCCATGGTGGGTGAGAGGAGTTGGTGCAGGTTTGAACATCCTCATGATAGGTGACAGATAGAATTTGGAGACCACAGGCATAGCTAGGGCAGGGAATGGAGGTGTCAGGATATAAGAGAAGAGACTTTAAAAGGAAGAGTACTGAATTCTTGGCTGGTCACAGTGTACAGTTTAGACCCCAACGATTCACAGCCAGTCATTTGTTTGGGATATGTGATATGTTGTCTCCTCCTAGGGGTGGCTGGAGTCCATGAAGCTTGCAATCTGTGAAAACCCTACCTTGCACCCAGCTGATTGATGACAGTTTGTCTACATAAACAGGTTGACCTACTTCCTGCCTCGGAGCACCCTTGTGCTGTGCACGCCTGAGTCAGAGAGAGCCTCACCCAAGCAGCAGACAAGCTGGGAGCAGGTGCAGAGTTGAGAACAAACAGGGGTTCACATTAGTGCAGGCGCATGACTAGGCAGAGATTCATAGGCAGCAGAGGAGGGCGTGGCCCTGAGCCCAGGGGCAAGTTGTTTTGGGCTGAGTTTCCCATTCCACCCTGTAGTTAGGTAACTCCTCATCAGCTTGTAAATAATGGAGACCGCACCCTCATGCACTGCACTTACTGACCTATTCCATGAGCAGGTAGTACTGATCAGCCATGGGGTTCTTAGTTCTTTCTGGCTCAGGCTTTGGCTAAATGAGGAGCCCTTGTAGTGCAGTGGGTTAAGCAGACTCAAAGGTCAGTGGTTCAAAGACATTGGAAACAAAGGAGGTGTGACGTTTCTGACCCACCTGCTTTTCCAGGTGTCAGCTTGATGGTTTTTAGCCAAAGATCTTTCTGAAAAGACCTGTACTTTATGCTCATCCTCTTCCATTCTGTTCCTGAGCTTCCTTTTTAGATCTTCCGGCCCATCTTTGCTCTCCGGTTCAAGAACAGCCACTGCATCCTCACACCCTTATGTCAGCCATTAGCCTCCATCAGCTTTCCACCGCTATTATTGAGAACCTGGTGATAGGCTCCAATGGAATAGTTCCTTTTTATCATTTTTATTTTGTTTGATTGTAGGGATTTTTTTTTGTTCTGATTATAAGAGCTAAAATATGCTTCTTCTCTTAAAAATTCAATAATCGTAGAAATAGAGTTTAGAAAGTAAAAGCCCTTGGTATTTCTGCCTTTTCAAAAAAAAAAAAAAACCATTACCAGTTTGGTGATGTTTCTTAATTTTTTCCTATACTTGGTCTTAGACTCAGAATATTCCAAGGGTTTTCAACATGCTTTTTCACTTAATGGTAGACTTTGGACATCATTCCCCTAAAATACCTGACTATTTAACAGCTTCATGGCATATAGTTGTGTGAACTGTAATTTACGTAAATTTTCTTTTTTGTGTGTGGTTAATTTTTTACTGTTACAAACATTGTTACGGTAAACATCTTTATATGTATATCTTTGTGCATTTATAGTGTGTTTCTCCAAGAAAAATTCTTAAATTGTAAGAGCTCTTGCCAGATCGCCCTCTTAAAAAATGCCACAGTTCACATTCCTACCAGTAGTGTATGAGCAAGCTTGTTTGATCACATCTTTATCAACATCAGCTATTACCAATCATTTTAACTGCTTTCAGTCTAATAGATAAAAATCTGATCTTATGTTAATTTGTTTTGTTGGTTTGGCTTGTTTTGCTATTAAAGAGAGCATCTTTTCAAATATTTATGGCCTGATTCCACTGAGTATTACCGAAGTACATTGAGGGGTTAAGATTTATCTAGGAGCAGCTTCCTGGGAGGGTGGTGATTGTTTTCACAAATGAGTAAGGTATTTCCTGCATATCTCCTCCACAGCAAACAGCGGCATAACAAGCTCTGGCGATCTCATTCAGATAGTGACCTCTCCGACCACCACGAACCCATCTGCAAGCCAGGGCTAGAGCTCAACAAGAAGGAGATCACCACTTCAGCAGACCAGATTGCCGAGGCGAAGACCACAGAGAGCCACCCACCCTTACCTCCGGTCTTTGTGGAGCACCTGGTCCCTCAAGATACCAGCCAGAAAGGCCTGTGTACCAAAGGAAGAGTTATCTGCTTGGAGTTTACTTCTAGGGAATTTCATTCTGGACAGATTGAAGATGAGTTAAATCTGAATGACATCAATGGATGCTCCTCAGGATGTTGTCTGAATGACTCCAAATTCCCTCTTGACAACTGCCATGCATCCAAAGCTTTCATCCAACCTGGACAGGCCCCAGAGATGGCCAACAAGTTCCCAGACTTGACAGTGGAAGATTTGGAGACAGACGCACTGAAAGCAGACATGAACGTCCACTTACTGCCTATGGAAGAATTGACATCTCGACTCAAAGACCTCCCCATGTCCCCTGACCCTGAGTCACCAAGCCCCCAACCCAGTTGCCAGGCTGGGCTCTCGGATTTCAGTACAGATCGCATTGATTTCTTCAGTGCCCTAGAGAAGTTTGTAGAGCTTTCCCAAGAAACCCGGTCCCAGTCTTTTTCCCACTCAAGGACGGAAGAACTGGGCGGAGGACGGAGCGAAAGCTGCCGACTGTCAGTGGTAGAAGTGGTCCCTTCTGAAGTGACAGCCGATGACCAGAGAAGCAGCTCTTTGAGTAATACCCCCCATGCGTCTGAAGAATCTTCAATAGATGAGGAACAGTCAAAGGTAAAAGCTGTCTTTATAGTTTTCCACCTAATGAAGTTTTCTTCAAAGACAACGTGTTTGGGATTCTGCTCTGTTTGTTTTATATTTGTTGCTGTAGATTTAGGAAGGCAGTGTGGGAGGAACAGTCTCAAAGCTGAGATTTCCCTTGAAAACTTACCGGTTTAAATACTTTTTCAAATCTGTTACCTTTTGAGAAATTTATCTTTTCAGGCTTTTGGTCACTGGATGCACTTCTGAGAGGGGATGAATGGGGAAGGAATTAGCCAAAATGAGTGTCTTGGCAGAACAAGGAGAGGTCCCCTCGCTGGATCCTGTAGTTCAGATCAGTTGTCACCAGTAATAAAGTGTCAGTGACTCAGAGCTTCCTGAGTGAGACCTGTGTCTCTTGAGAAGATGGATTTGCTTGGGAAATTCTTTTCACCACAGAATATTTAAAAACGAAGCATTTGTAAATAGTTGTTGGAGCAGGAACTGATTCTTCATACTAGTTCTTGCGATTCATGATGTTGCTTGTTCAGACCCAGTGATGCTTAAGAATTAAGGGTTGGTTTGGAGAAATGATTTAAGAGCAAACAGAATCCTATGGTTTTTCTTTGGTAGCATATGAGTTCTTACAAGCCATTTCAGCCCAGGGAAAGAATTACTGCTGTCTCATCAGTTCTAAGATTTCATACTTACTCTCATTTTGACATTGGGATGCATCTTCTAGACAGTGATGTCTTAGATCAATACAGTACTGTAGTTGGGAAGTAAATGGTGACTCTCTTTTACCAAACTTCACTAAAAATTTTAGTGGGACTGAGTAGATTCTAGACATCTCTTAATGTCTTTCTACTTATATTTACCACCATGTCCTCCTCTCCTTATCTGTTTTCTCCTTACTTGCCCCAGGGCATTTCTTCCTTGTCTTCTGTCTTCTACTGTCCACAAAGGCTATGCCTCTATTTCTTTTGTACTAGGAAATTAGAATGCATGAGCTCCCCTTTCGACCAATGTGTGTAGCAGCACTGACAGAAATAGCCTTTCTGCAAAGACCTTGGTCATATGAGCGCTCTCTCCACAGGCTGTGCACACACTAGACCTGCTGTGGCTTCTCTCCCAGTATTGGCAACTTTGCCTCAGTCTGATGCCCTGGCAGATTTCTCCCAAAGACATGACTAGCCTTGTAGGTTTGTAGTAGCTCTGACTCTTTTGAAGATGAAAAGCCTGAACAATTCCAAAGGAAATAATTGTACTTTGAAAGCTTAGGAAAATGTGTAACAAAGTAGATTGATGGTTATAACATCTCAATATCTCTTAAAGAGGTGTCCAGAGGCCATGTCCAGATTTTTTAAATTTTGGATTTTTGTTTCGTTTTAGCAGTAGGGCCTGATTTTTTATTGGCCAAATTCTTTGGTCTTCTCCTAAATCCATCTAGGAATTCATAAATGGTAAACAGTAAAACGTCAGAGAGTCACAGTTTCTAAGTTGGCTGAGCTGTGTGACTGCATAGGCTAAGTAAACCTTTCCCAGAAGGAGCCATGTGAAACTTAGGGGTTTTGTGGTCAGACATTCTCCTTGCCCTTCTGAGCTGGGGATGCTGCTGCAAGGAGAAACGTGGGAGGGTGTGGATGAAGGCTGGCAAGACTGAGGAGAAAAGAGAGCAGTGAGTGTCCTGTCAGACATCAGATAGCAGTCTCATCCATCTCACTCTAAGACATATCTAAGGTGGCCACCAGGCCCTTGAGGGGAACTCTTCTACTTGAACTACACTAGGATCAGACTGGAATTTGATATGCCAGAGGAAAAAGGTTTCATTTGCCCACAATATGGTCTCAATTGTACGTGCTCATGGTCTTAGAAAAGTAAGGATTATGGAACCTTTCATATCTATTTGCTGTTATTTTTTGGAGCAAGGTTTTGAATTGGAATCCTGCATGAAAAACAAAGTTTTGTACACATGGGAACGAATTTTGTGTATCTGGCCTTGATGAATCCTGGTTTTTTCCTTGTACCACAAAACAGATGGCCAGAATACAGCCCCAGGCATTCCATTATTTGTGTCCTCCTGTTCAGATCGGTTGTCCTGGATCACAGAATTAATAAGCAGAACATCTGGCATTTTCAGTTGGACTGCAGTTCTCCATAACCATCTCATTACTTTCTCTTCTTAGGCAATCTCAGAACTGGTCAGCCCAGACATCATCATGCAGTCTCACTCGGAAAATGCAATTTCAGTCAAAGAAATCATCACTGAGATAGAATCCATCAGTCAAGGAGTTGGACAGATTCAACTAAAAGGAGATGTCCTATCCAACCCGTGTCATACGCCAAAGAAGACCACTGTCCATGAGCTGCCCGTTGAGAGGGCCCAGGCCCTGGAAAACAAACCTAGTCATCTGGAGCAGAGCGAGGGTTCCTGCACAGCCCAGCCTGAACTAGCCAAAGACTCAGGGAGGTGGGACCCAGGAGGCTGCCCAACCACACGTTCACTCACAGCAGACTTGGAAGAAGAAGACCCAGCTGAGGGGGAGCAAGAGCCTCGTGGCCCAGGGATGCCCCCAGGTGCCAAGTGGTGCCAGGGCTCAGTGAGGCGAGCCACGTTAGAGTTTGAAGAGCGCTTACGGCAGGAGCAGGAACACCATGGTGCTGCCCCTGTATGTACCTCATTGTCTATGCGCAAAAATTCCAAGAATGATTCTCTTGTGGCAGACCTAGCACCAAAAGGGAAAAATGATGAAGCCACTCCAGAAAATGTGGTTGTCCCCAAGGAATCAGAGATGAACAAGGGCAAAGGGGAATGTGGTGGGTCTGACGCTAGTTCACTACCCCTTTCTGAACAGAGAGCCACTGCTCCAGCATCTGAGCTGCTGGAGTCCCACCCCTTGCTGCCTCCTCAGGGGTACCCAGGGTCAGATGCTGGGATGCAGCAGGAGGGAGAGCTCGAGGAGCAGAGCACTGTGCTTGCAGGCCAGGAGTCGGAGACTCAGGCAGTCCCTCTTTCTCTTCCTAAGAGGATAGAAATCATAGAGTATGCCCACTCAGTGACATCACCTGCTCACCCCGGGCCAGGGGCTGAAGTAGCCACCACCGCAGTAAGTGGGGACCAAGGGCTGAGGGAAGTGAACATGGAAAAGTCCATCACTGTGCTCTGTGCACTGGATGAAAATCTCAACAGGACTCTCTGCCCCAGTCAGGTTTCTCTGCACCCGCAAGTGCTACCTCTGCCACATCCTTCCTCTCCTGAGCACGGTAGGCCTGCCAGCCCAGCCTCCACCCTGAGCAGCCCTGAAGACAGGAGCAACAGCCCAGCCACAGCCCTAGGGACAGCGGCGCCTTTTGTCAGTCGCACAACTCATGTACCATCTACCAACTTGGATTACTTGCAAACCCAGACTGTGGTTCACCTGGAAGGCTTCACAGAGCAGAGCAGCAGCACAGACAGCGGGCCCTCTGCACAGCAGGGCGGCTGGGAGGGGAGGCAGGAGGGCCCTGGCTCCAGTGGCAGCGAGGGGCCGCAGAACGGCTCCCGGTTAAGTCGCGAAGACCTGAGTTTAATTAGCAGACTTGGTGACGACGACATCGAGGAGTTACAGGAAAAGCTGAACCCATCACCCACAGCTTGTCGACTCTCACATAGCTCCAGTAGTGACAACATAAAGGGTCTCAGCCACAGTGCCAGTGTGGTGAAGGAGCGTGCTAAAGAAATCGAGTCCCGAGTGATTTGCCAGGCAGGGATCACCATACCATCCCAGATGAGACGCTCCGCTTCCCTCGCCAAGTTAGGTTACTTGGACCTCTGTAAAGACTGTTTACCAGAGAGGGAACCTATCTCCTCAGAATCCCCTCATCTCAAACTGCTTCAGCCCTTCATCAGGACAGACACAGGCATGCATGCCATGGAGGTCCAGGAGCCCCCAGAAAACCCAGGTGCCCCCCAGAACCCAGAGCCCACCAAGTATTTTGTAGAGCAACTCAGAACAACAGAGTGTATTGCGCAGAGCAAGCCAGTGGAGAGGCCCCTTGTGCAGTATGCCAAAGAATTTGGTTACAGTCCACAGTGTTCGCTCCCCAGGGCAGGACCTGAATTGCCTAGTTCTGAAGGAGGCCTGCCTTTGCTACAGACCCAGGGCCTACAGTGTGCAAGCCTAGCCCCTGGCCTGGCTGTGGTACCCCGTCAGCAGCATGGCAGAACTCACCCCCTTAGGAGACTTAAAAAGGCGAATGATAAAAAGCGGACAAGCAACCCCTTCTATAACACCATGTGATCTTGAGCCTACACATGGGACTTTGGAAAAGAAATGTTTGTAAAAGGGGCAGGTGTAATATGTAAGGAACATGCACTTTATTGGTTAATTTTATGTTTTTGGTCATTTTACTGTTCAGGCGCATGCAGGGTTTGGGTTTTTCTGTGTGTATGTCTGCGTGTGTGTTCGAGAGAGAGGAGAGAGATTTGGACTGCAAGACCATTTTGTCTTTTTTTTTTTTTTTTTTTTTTAATTTTAATTTTATTTGAAAAAAATTCAAACCTCAAAACTCATTTGCAAAGAACACCTTTCTTAAAGGCAAATTGCTGTTTTTCAATCATCTGCCACCTGCTCCCCATTTTGCCCTCTGAGAAAGGGCATGCTTACTTGAGGGCAGGAGGCAGATGGGGAGGGTGGAGATGGAGTGGGAGATTGGAAATGCTCCCCAAGCTCCTGGTGACGATGGTTTGGTTCCCAGACCTGAGGCTCCGGCTGAGCTGAAGAGCAGCCAGACAGGAGGCAGAGCACGCTCAGCCTTCCTCTCCGGCCCCCGCACACTGGAGTTCCCGAGGCGCACAGGTTCCGCGTTGCTTTAAAAGGGGGTCTTCTAGAATCCATTTCTTCTGGTATTCCAGAGCCTAACCTTACAGAAAAGCATGATAATGGCTGGCTTTGTAAATTTACCAAGCAAATACTTTTTTTCTCAAGCAAATAATTTTTGGCATTAAATTTAAAATATGAACCACAAGTGAAACCCAGGGGAAGGCAGTCCATGGAGGAAAGCGTGACAAGAGGAGGAGGAAGTCAGGTCTCAGGTCGATGGAGGCCGCTGCCAGGTAACTGCTGGCCTGGTAGCATCCACGCTGGTGGTTTCCTGCTCTTCCTCATTCTCCCAACTAAAACACAGTGGTGACAAATTTGTAAAACAGCAATCAAAACTCAGTGTGTTCTTGTAAATGAATACATCTGTAGGGGTTAACCCTTCTGTTACTTGAATAATTCTGTGGGCCTTCTGAGTTTAATGGGCCTTCCCTCCCCCCCATTTATTTGCCTCCCCAGTGCTATTTTCCCCGTGCTGCCTGTGGTGGTTTTTTCCTTGTTACTGTTTTTTAATCTCATAGATGATCATTTGAATTGTTGTATTACGTATGTATAACCTCCATTGAAAGCAAAGTTTTCTACATTATCACTGTTAACATTTGACATCCTAAGTTTTTTGGGTTTTGTTTTTTTTTTCCATTTTTTTCCTGGAAAGTTTGTCATTTTTCTAGAGTTTATACAGTATTTATGTACATAACGTTGTCACTTTCTTACAGTGTTGTTGATGTTGTAGGATCTTTTCAAATTTATTCTTTCCAAGAAGGAGTTAAGCTGCAACTGGTAAACACAAAGGCACCACAGAAATAACACTGATGGGTATGGGTAGGAATCCGCAGCGTATGGATGGTGGTTTGAATTGTTTAAATGGAGACTTCTGATCTCCAGTTCCTGCCAAATTATGTGTTAGCAACTTCCTCCTCGGAGAAACCCTAAAGGCTCCCATTAGGTCACAGTTTGACTGAAGGCTGATTTCTCTCTGAGACCAAAATCCCAGAATGTTGTTTGCCAGTAGCTGGACCGCAGCCAGGAGTGGATGGGAGTGTCACTGCTGCCCAGGATGGAAGCTGCTGAGGGCTGAGGTGGTAGAGAGGCCTCAGCTGAAGGCAGGTGCCTAGCAGTGACTCCTTTTAGGAAGCTATTGCTCTGCTGCTGTCATGGATGTCTTTAACACAGGTGCACCTGCCATAAACAAGCCTATTTCAGCTTCTCATAGAAAACACACTTAGCCTGGAATGAGAGACCCTCTGAAACTAACCAAAACGGAAGTGGTGTGCAGATTTGCTTCCTGTTTGCTTTGCTTGATGCCCACACTGCTGAGAGATCTGACCGAGTGCAGATCTGAGACTTCTGTTTTATTGCAGCACTGAAAGGAAAAGGCAGGTACAAAGTCTGTCAGGTTGATTTCAGAGGCCAGAGTGCAGTGGGGGCGGCAGGGTGAGGAAAGGCATGAAAAGAGAGAGAGGGCAGGTGGACTGAAGCCAACTCTTAGGTGCTCAAGAGGGGCTCTAAGTCCAGTTGCCATACGGAAGCTGTGGTTCAGACAGACGTCACTGCCAGGAGGCAGATTGGGCAGAAACTGCCTGTTAAAAGTGTCCTGTGGTGTCCTGATTATGTGTAACCATGCTTCTTACATGTATCATTCACACAGCTTTGTGAGTCCTGGATATGTAATGTATTGTAAGGTGGTTTTCTTAGGTGGTATGTACCAATGTGAGGAGGCTTGCGAGACAGGGTTCTGAGTTTCTAGAACTCATCCATCTAACGTACCCATCTTGCTGAGGCAATTCCATCACCAGTATGATGGGGGAAGGATAGGAAATTGAGGTGGGAGCTGGGAGAGAGAGTTGCATGGCAGATAAGAAAGTGGTGTCCACTCCTGTTAACCATTGGTGACATCCACACATTAAGAGGAAAAAGCAGTGTTGACAGTATTGTTCTCTCCTCTCCCCTACCGCCGGGTTTAATGTTCTTGCTTACCACGTTAAGTAGCAACAAAGCTGGGGAAACCCTCTAATGCTGTGAAAAACAAACTTTTTGTTTAAAGAGTACAGGAAACGATCTTTCTCTGCCTTCCATTTTGTTTTTATTACTTTTTTTTTTTTTTTTTTAAATATCAATTCATTTACCTGCCTAGATTAACAGCCACCACACAGGGCCTATAATTCAGCCATGCCAAAGGGGCTTTGCCAGCCCTCTTAAACTCCCGCAGCTGGGTAGTCTTGTCTTATTTACAGGACTGAGCAGGATCCAGGGGAGGTGTACAATAAGTTGTCCAGGACTTTTCAGACTTTTCTTCTCTTCAGACTTTGTGATGATCTCTGGTGGCCTGTTTCCCTTTTCTGTTTGTGGAAAACCCAGCCCTAGACCAGCAGGTTTGGTAGAAGGACAGAACAGAGGAGGGAAAGCTTTGGCCCTGGCACAGTGCCTCACTCTGTCTTTATTTCAAAAATCACCATAGTCTGACTCTCATTTTCTTTGGAGGTATGTGTGTGCATGCGTGTGCACATGCATGCATGCACGTGTGTGCATATATGCATAAAAAGAGTAACATTTTGGTGCATGGGGTAAAACCCCCAGGAGCACATAGGTTTTGAGCTGTAATCTGGGATGGTTACCTGGTTGGTATGAAAGGAGAGAAATCCCAAACCTTTCTTGGTTTTGAAAACACAAATAGTGTGTACTTTGGTGAACATGTACTACTGTAGTGTGGTGATATTCATCTCTCCTCTCTTTGGTTGCCTTTCAGATTGTAAACGTTTGGGATCATTTCTAGCATCTCAACCTCTTCAGGCCCTTTATCCAGAGTTTTCCAGGTTCTGTCCTTTCATCCCAACTGGTATTTTCTCTTTCTCATTTTGGGGACAGCGCAGGCTCTGCGGTCTCCTCCTGTTTGTGGGCCCCAGGCAGATGGTGTTGGCTAGACCGGAAGCTTGCTCCAAGAAGCTGCTTTTCTGAGATACAGCAGCTGGCAGAAATCTTCCCTGTTCCATCTGAAGGCTTCAGTTCTGAAGTGATCTAGCATGTTTAGTAAAAATGTTTTTGGAGGAGTTGTTTCTTATTCTTCTAAGAAAGCATTATGCAAAAAGGATCACTTTCAAAGGGCATTTAAAATTTTTTAAATAAAGCCATTCTTTGGCTTTCTGGATACCTGTTTGTGGATACTTTGTTTACATTGTGAGTATTAAAACCTGCATCATCTTGTTGACCGTACAGTCTTTTCCTCTCCACGTACCCAGCCACGGCTGTCCTGTGAGTTCCATAGCGGTCAGCCCTCATGGATAAGTGGGTGGAACTGGGAGCTGATTCTCACCTGGGCCTGCACCCCATCCAACACTCTGTATGCAAAATAGTCGCCATTTCCTCAGTGATGGTGTGTCTTATAGTGATGGTTGTGATGGTGAATGGCTAGTGGCATTTTTGTTTCATTTTATTTTGCTTTTTGACGGTAGACAAGATGAAATTTTAGGTATTTCATGATCAGTCCAACTTAAAAGCACCTTGGATTTTGTTTTCCTTTCCAAACTAAAAGTAAGATCAAGGCTTGTGTTAGGCGCAAGGGTGATTTACTGCCTCAACTCACATGACATCCATATTAGGAAAAGGCCTGCTACCAAAGCAGGAAGCTGCACACTCCTAACCCTTCCCCCAGGCCTTAGGGTCCCTTGATGCCATGGAGAGCTACTGCAAGGTGCTTCTGTACTTTTCCAGCCTGGAAGTGGAGGATGACGGGGCCTGGCTCCTGCTATGAAAAAAGACCAGCCTCGTTTTCTCAGTGCCCCAGAGATCTCAGACTTCTAAACTGGAATTGCTCCTCATCAGTGTGAAGAGTCCCAGGAGGTGTATGACTGGTGCTGCCCCCCACCCCCGTGTCCCCACTGCGAGGGTAGTGCAGCCTGTGTGCACATGCAGAGCTGGTGACCTGGGTGGGCTTCACTCATTGAGCTGATGGCCCAACCTGAAAACTGGGCAGCTGGCCTTGAAATGTTCCCAGTCAGCAAGCCCACCGGGAACTGCTTGGTTTTTGTTTTGTTGGGTTTGGGTTTGCTTGGCGTGGCTTAAGGTGCCTTTTCTTTGTTTCTTTCTACTTTATTTTTTAGGACTTGTTCAAATGTGGAAAACAAGTCCACAAGGCTCTCCCACTGACTGTTACCTTTGCCCCAGGCCACCCCAAACTTCTAAGCTCACATTTTATTAAATAAAGCAGGTGCTCCCTGGAATCTCTGGGACCTTTTTGAGGCATTTGAAACAGAATATAAAGAGTGGGCTCATCTCCTTCCTTGATCTTCCTGGTGGTTGGGATGCTCCACTTGTATCATAGATTTTATATTACTGATGTGCTCCGCTGTTTTTAAATGTGAACTTGTGCGCAGATGTGCAGATTCAATGTTCTTGTTACAGATTGAATAAATTTTTATTTTGAAGATGAAACACAAACACATGTGCTTGATCAAATACAACAAAGGAGGGGGCTGTGGGGAGGGTTAGGGGTTGGAGAATGATTATAAACATGGAGCATGAACATAAACATGGATTCCCCACCAAGCACACCCTCAACATACCACTGAAGCCTGGAGAAAAATACAGCTTCTTGCCTTCCACAGAGTACAAGACTAAATACGAGATAGAATTTTTAAACATTA